ACACTTGGTGGGGGGCAGTAGTGCAGTATGCCAACTGGGTGAAGAACAGGATGGGCAGCAAGGGGCTTGGAGGCAAGAGCCCATCAGGGCTGATTTTATCATACTATTTTAGTCTGATTGTCTGAAATTTCAGACCCATTTTTTTGCCAATCCTGATTTTTCAGACTTAGGCATTTCTGGATACTAAACCCTTCAGAGTTGTATGATTTTGGATCCTGAAGTTTTCAGAGTAGTCGTTGTGCGGATACTGAGTTTTCAGAGTACATCGCGTATGGACTCTGAATGCGACATCCATGCACCTTGTACTTTCCACGAGATATTTCTACTACATCATATGTTGCCTTCCATCATTTCACTCCCGCACGTCTCACGTGCAGTATCTGCACTTGGCAGGATTCCCCCCCCTTCTGTGACTGTGATGCTACCTCAACAGGGACTTTGCCGCTCAGCGCGTCATGCATCCTGCCAAGCGTGCCTGCTAAGGACCTCTACGTGGGTGTGTTGTTGGAAGCCATCAAAGGCTGGTAACACGGGAAACTTGCCCTCGCTGGCAAGTGCAAAACTGTCCGACCGACCGTGATTGGCGATAGTCCATGCCAACACATGGTTCGTTCGTAACGTCAGCTCATGTTTGGCATGGCGGCGCGGGTTTGGAAGGGGCTGCCATCCAGAAGCTGACGACGAGGGTTAGCCAAGAAACACGCGCCTCGGGCTGGATGATGCCCTTCTTCTTCGTCCCTCTCATCCCTCCCCCTCCTCTCAGGCGCACTCAAGCTTTTACACGGGGTCTGTAAATCTTACTCCTCAATTCGTGTTTCGAAGTTGTCCTCCTCACGTAGGTTCTCGTTTGTCGACCCCGTCAACAGCCATGACGGGGACTCCTGCAAAAGAAGACGATGAGCCCAGCGCCAATGAACCACCTCATAGTAACGAGCCTGCAAAGGTTTGTCGCTCCGCGATAGACATGCGATCGTTAGGTTCTCCTCCCGTCGTTGCTGTTGTGGTTTCCTCCGCAGCGGAGGAAACCCAGCCTACTCTAAACCCACCTCCGTTCGCGCCCTTCGTGCCACCACCATATGTCCCTCCGCCTGCCGTCGCCTCATCCAGCAGAGGCCCGACTCTGCCCGTTAACTGCGTCACCGCCACCACAGTCCACTACAGCGTTCCCTGCGCGTCCACAATTTTGTCTGCGAAGAAACAACGGACGGGCAAGTACACCCAGTCTCAAATCATGATCGAAGGTAGGCTCCGCCGCCCGTCCACGCCGCAATCACCTAGTGCAGTCCCTGTCGTCGTTGAACCGCCACCGCCAAAGCTGAGTAAGAAGGAATTGATTGAGCAAAAATACCTCGTCGCTGAAGCAAAGTACAAAACTTCATGGCTGCCTTTCTTTCCATGGCTACTACTAACCAAAACAAAGGACAGTTACCCTGCTCTCAAGTGCAATGTCTGCATGACATTTGGCAAGGAGACCACCAAGTACAGCTCTTCGGGCGATGGTGGCCGAGACCTGCAGACACAGACCATGTGCATACACGAACACTCCTCTGCACACAAGGAAGCTGTGGAGGCCCAGCTGAAGATTGCTGATGACATCGCCAACGGGCAGAAGAGGATTGACGACTATTTGTCGTCGGATGTCGAGGGGAGGCGGATCGTGCGACTGCTCCACGCTGTTGAGTTTCTCTGTAAGGTCGATGCTCCCATCAGCATGTTTCCTCGGCTATGTTGCTTTATGGCTGAGCAGGACACCCCAGACCTACCGCTCCAGTCTTACGGTGTTTACCTCACTCGGTAAGTACGCGTGAGTACATTCCATTACTCTGCCCCCTTGGATTATTTTAACAATTACTCTCTCATCTGCGTGCAGGTACGGCTTTCAACAGATGGTCCACTGCCTGGCGACTCTTCTTCAGCAGACCCAGATGCAGCACATTCAATCGTCCCCGTTCATCGGCATCAGTTGCGACGAGAGCACTGATCGTACCAGAGGGAAGCACCTGATAGTGTACCTCACGTTCTTGCACCATCGCCGTGTCGTCACCAAATTTTTCTCGTTGCTCACCGTCGAGAAGTGCGACGCCGCCTCCCTACTCTCCGTGCTCCTCACTCATCTTCAAGGCGCCGGCATCGAACTCAACCGCATCGCGGGAATCATGGTTGGGCGCTTCCGTCATGGTTGGGCGCGAGAACGGTCTCGTGGCGCGGCTCCGCGAGCACATCCCTAACCTTGTGTCGTCCCACTGCATCGCCCACCGGTATAGACTCATTATGTTATGTTCTCGCTTTGTATTTAATCGTTTACTACTTTGTTTCTGTGGATTGTGCGCAGGGAAGCTCTGGCTGTGAAGGATGCCACGTCTGCCTGTCTAGACTTGGACATGGTTGACAAGGTTATCCGAACTCTGGCCGATCTCCTCAGCCGTTCAAGCATGTGGAGCCAGCGGTTCAAGTACCTGCAGCGTGTCATCCACAAGACCAACCTTGAAGTTTAAGGAATCCACGCGATTCGGTGGCTGTCCAGGGGCGAGGCAGTCAAACGCCTCTGTAAGGTCCTCGGTGCTGCCATCGTTTTACCATATGAGTATAACCATGAGCTGTACGAGGTTGTCATCTCATACAAGTTTCAACTTTGTCTCTTCTTCCTGGCGGACATCCTCGCCATCATGAACGAGCTCAACCTCAAGTTTCAGAAGCGAGAGGTGAGCCCTTGCATGTGAGCTTGTGGTATGTTCTTTCACAATCAGCACTAATATTCTGCCCCTTGATTTGCGCCCCCATGTTTCCACCACCCCACCCCCCCTCCCCGCCCGACCGCAGGTGGATGTCACCGAGATAACACAGGACGTCGACGAGGCGGTGGGGGATCTTCGGCACCGCTACTTGGAGTGCGGCGGGGTTTTTGGTGCGGGCGTAAGCGGCACGTGGCTGTCGGCTTTCTTAACCGTGTACGGGCGAGGGAGGGCGAAGAGAGTGAAGGTGTGCGGCGTCGACAAGGACGGGCAGCCGATGACGCACACGTACCTGATGCACGCGCGGCAGATCAAGGGGCACGTCTACCAGAGCAACTACCGGGACTGTGAATTGTTGTGCGCGAAGTTCGCGAGGGGGAGCGTGACGAACCTGCTGGAGCGGCTGGACGACCTTTCGAAGCTCGGGCCGACGAAGCTGTTTCGGGCGGGCAAGTGGCCGCGGCTTCGGATGGTGAGGGAGAAGAAGACGAGGGAGTATCTCCATGGCTGCAGTGCTATCTTCGACGGCAGGATCCCTGGGTTCGATTTGAAGGAGGCGGAGAAGGAGCTGGCAATTTGGGCCCCGATCATGCAGAACCACCACAATGAGGAGGGCTTCTACCAGGGCCTGACGAACTACCTTGGCAACACGGAGTCAAGCAGGTAAGTCGCACCTCCAAAGCACACTGCTCTGTCTGCCTGTGTATGATTGTTTTTACCAGTGTGACCACCATGCCTGTTTATGTTTGTATGTACTTCTATTGTTCCTTGCCCACCATGCTTGTAGTTTATAATTAATTCTATTGTTCCACGCCTCTTGTGTGTGGTTGTTCCATAAACAGGTGCTGGCCCAACCTCATGCTTCTCTGGCAAGCATGCGCGGTGTTACCATTATCAACTGTGGAGTGCGAGCATGGTTTTTCCAGGCAGAACGTGATCAAGTCTTGGGTCCGTGGTGCTCTGTGCAATGCCCGCCTGGGTGAGCTGATGATGATTTCGTTGCAGAGGCTGGAAGAAGGAGAGGCAACACCTCTGCGACGCAGTGCTCGAATTTCCCAGCCACCTGAAAGGTTTTCACCGGGGCACATTGCACGCATGCATGATCATCTTGTGTCTGATTTGGATGATTGCATGCTTATGGACATGCATGGGCATGAGTATGCTCTTGATGTGTGTCTAATGGGTCAGGTGCATGAGCCTAGGTCAGTCCACGAGGCGCTGAACCATCCCAAATCGGTGGATTCCATGCATGAGGAGCTTGAGTCTCACAAGGTAAATGGATCATTTGAGCTGGTTGATCCAGCAGTGGTACCACTTGGTTTGGAGGTCCTCAGGTGTCAATGGGTTTGGAAATACAAGCATAACCCTGATGGTACTGTTGAGAGGCCTAAGTCCATATTGGTGGTGATGGGAAACATGCAGAAATTTGGAGTACACTATGAAGAAGTGTACTCTCCAGTTGGGAAGCATGCGAACTTGAGAGGTATGCTTGGAATTTCGGCTGCTTTGGGGCTTGATATCCATCATATGGACGTCAAGACAGCCTTCCTCCATGAGGATTTGGAGGAGGAGCTTTACATGCGGCAGCCCCCTGGTTTTGATGATGGGTCTCACCGAGTGTGCCGCCTCAAAAAGTCCATTTATAGGCTAAAGCAAGCCCCACGACAGTGGTACCTGAAATTTGATCAGGCTATCATGGATTTTGGGTTTGAGAGATCTGAGTGTGACCCTGCTTTGTACCACTTTGTGAGAGATGAGGAGAGGATCTCCTTATTCCTCTATGTTGATGACCTTTTTCTCCTATGCTCTAGCAAGGCTTTACTAGATCGAGTGAAAGACTTCTTGTCCTCGAGTTTTCGCATGAAGGACTTGGGGGAGGTGAAGTACTACTTGGGAATGCAAATTGAGCGTGATGAGATTGGTATCTTGATTCATCAAGAGAGGTACATTCTTAACATGCTTCAGTCCTTTGGTCTTTCAGAGGCCAATCCCGTGCGTACTCCTCTCCCAACAGGCTTTGATGTGCATGCCTATGAGGATGAACCTTTGCTGCGAGATGAGCTGGTCAAGCTCTACCAAAGCATTGTGGGATCCCTCATGTATGCTTGTATTACCACACAGCCACAGATTGCATTCGCAGTCTCACAGCTATCTAAGGTCGCCTCTTGTCCTAATATGTTCCACCTGCAGGCCGCTAAGAGAGTGCTGAGGTACCTGAAAGGTGGTGTCAAGTCAGGCATCTTCTTCCAAACACAGCCCCAATCTCAGGTCCAGCTGGTTGGCTTCAGTGATGCCGACTATGCTGGAGATTCCGCAAGTCGCAAGAGCCACAGTGGGTATGTGTTCTGTCTGAATGGGGCAGCTATCTCTTGGCAGAGCAAGAGGCAGCCCGTGGTGGCACTCTCTACCACTGAGAGTGAGTACATTAGTCAATGTCAGTGCATTCAAGAGGGTGTGTGGCTGAGGCATTTGCTTGGGGAGTTTGGCCATGATCATGCTGGTGGTGTGCCTGTGTTTGTGGACAATCAGTCTGCCATTGCCCTTGCACAGAATGCATGCTTGCATGGCCGCACCAAACACATGCAGGTCCGGTGGCATTTCATTCGGGAGATGGTAGCTGCGGGAGAGGTGATTTTGCAATGGTGCCCTACCAACTGTCAGGCTGCGGATATTGTTACCAAGTCTCTTCCATTTGAGTGCCATGGTGTGTGCATGACCTTGCTCGGGATGCAGCCCCATGACGACAGGGTTCCCCAAGCAGATGTCGGTGTCTTGGTGCTCCTCTCCTTGGCGGACTCCATGCTTTGAGTGGCCCCAACCCATGGGCAAGGGGGAGTGGTGTGAAGTCTTTTGCCCTATGGTGTTGCGCTACACCCAGCACGAGCAAGGGGGAGTCATAAATGTGAAGTGTTCTGTGGTGTAGTTTGCTCTAACTGGTTGTAGGCTATAGAGATTTGGGCAAAAGAACTTGGGTTGGTTGGCACGGTTTGATCTCGTTACCTTTCCAACACATACAACCTCAAACCCACTACAACATCTTTGATGTTGCAGTCATGGCACTTGGGAGTTTTGGGGTTTGGTCTAGGGCGAGGGTTGGTGGTGTTTGACAATCACATACTCGAACTTTTCCAGATCTAACTTCTTCCCTTCTCGTTTTTTACTAGGTGATTCATGGCTGCCTAGCCAAATTACCAGAACATCCCCTCACACAGATTTCGTCATAATTGGCGGCTCAGATCTTGGTTATGAACGTGCTTTACCATTCTGAAAACTAGAGATTAAGACCTTTCCAACGCGTATAAGCTCATTTCTAGAAGTTACCTGAGCTGCACGCAATGTTCCGTTGAGGTCGTCAGACTTAATCTCTAATTAATTCTCTCCAGATTTGCACGATTTCCATTAGGTCGCAATGGTCGCTCATCCGCTGTGCCGTCGGGTGGTGGTCAGAGTGACGGGTGCTGCCAGTACCAGCACTAGACCGGTCCTTGCCACGGCCTTGTGTGCGGTAAGATCGGCCATACCCCCGCTCGTTGCTTTCGTCGCCTAGATGACCAGTTTCGTCTCACACTCTGCTTTCTCGTCAGGTTCAGATCTTTGATATGGACATGGATGAGATTAGCTCTGCTTTGTATGTGATGTATGTTGATGACACTAGTGTAACTGGTTCCTATTACCATGTGTTGCCTAGCCTAGGTGTGCCCATTGTGCCTAGTTCATGTTCCCCTGATGCGTCAGGCGTAGGATCTCCTGCCTTATTTAGCCTAGGGTCCACCCTCGCTCCTCCGACCTCTGTCGCTGCTGCCGCGCTCTCCTTCACCCAGGACTTCGGCGCTTCCCGGTGTTTCTTTCGCGACTCCACTACGCTTACGCCGCTTGCCGCTCCGGCTCCAGTTGCTCTTGCAGACCCTTCCTCCGGTTCTGTAGTTGCCCGTAGCTCCACTACTCTCCCCTGTCCGGCGGCTCCCTCAGGCTCCCCTATAGGCCTGCACATCCCCTTGTTCTCTAGGAACCTAGTTGGTGTCGGCTGTTTCCAGGACCTTGGCATCACCACTACGTTCCCTGGGCATGAGCAATACGCTGCCTGTACTGAGGCCGCCACTGGTGCCCCCCTCATCACGTTCCCCCGGGACCCGGTGTCTGGCCTAGTCACGCTGGAATCCGCTTCCCCCCTGGTTGGGACGCTTCCCCAGGTATCTGCGTCTTTCCAGGTTGTTGCGGCGTGCTCGTGCCGGTCGCTTACTCACCCGTCACTTCTGTGGCACCACCGTCTAGGTCACCCAGCCCTCACCTGTCTCCGTCACATGTCCCAGCACCGTCTTGTCCTAGGCCTCCCTGAGTCGTTCCCTGTGCTCCCCTCCTCACCCGTGCCTCCGTGCACGCCCTGCGTTGAGGGCCGGCTCCACTGTGCCCCTCACTCCTCCTCGTTCCCCCCTACCTCCGCACCGCTGCAGACCCTGCACATGGACATCTGGGGCCTCGCCCCCATCCATGGGCCGCGTCGCGAGTGCTACTTCCTAGTGCTTGTCGATGACTACACCCGCTACACCACCGTCTTTCCCCTGGAGTGGAAGGCCGACGTGCCTGACGTTCTTCTCCCGTGGCTTGTCTCTGCCCGTGTTCAGCGAGGTCTCCCTGTCTTGCGTCTTCACTTTGACCGTAGTGGCGAGTTTACCTCTTGCTGCCTTGGTCGCTTCTGTCGTGCGGAGGGCATCACCCAGACGTTCATTCTGCCCGACTCCCCACTGGAGAATGTGGTTGCTGAGCGATGCATCCGTTTGGTCATGGAGGTGGCTCGTACCTCCATGATCCATGCCGGTGCACCCCATTTTCTGTGGCAGTTCGCCATTCGCTACGCCGCTCACGAGCTTAACCTCTGGCCGCACCCCCAGCAGTCGCAAGTTTTGCCGACCCTCATCTGGTCCGAGTCCCCTGGTGGCACGTCTGCGTTCCACGTCTGGGGCTGCCTTGCTCACGTTCGTGCCTCTGGCATGGACAAGCTCACTACTCGCACTGTCCCCTGTGTCTTCCTAGGTTTCCCCCTCGACTTGTCGGACTGGCAGTTCTACCACCCGCCTTCTCACTGGTTCTTTCACTCTCGTGATGTCACTTTTGACAAGTTCGTCTCCTCCTACCACCGCTTTTCCAACCGTGGTCCCCCGATCACTCCCCCCTAGTTCCTGGTGCCCCCCCCTCCCCCGGTCGACCCTGTCTACCCCCCTCCCTGCCCTGCCCCATCTGGTGTGTATTACGCCACCCCCCTCCCATCGATTGTCCTTGCTGAGGAGTCCGCTGACTCTTGAGGCTCGGCGGAGTCTCTTCCCCCGCCTGTCCCTGCCCCGGTCTCGCCTCCCCTGCCGCCGCCGCTGCTGTCCCCGCCGCAGCTGCCTCCGCCGCTGCCGCCGCAGCCGCAGCTGCCGTCGTCACCGCCGCTGGGGTTAGTGCGTTCTGGGGCTGCTGGGGAGCAGGCTGGAGCTGGCTCTGGAGCGGGCTCTGAGGGTGCTCGAGTGGGGCTTCTTGGAGGGAGCCGTGTTGTTGCTGGAGAATCTGGTGTTGGATTCATGCAGCAGTCGCAGCTGTCGCCGCCGGTGTCCGCTCTTCGCCTCCTCGGTCTCCCTTCCCCTAACCGCCCGTCGCTACCTCGCCTCCTCCTCCTCTACCGGTCCAAGGCCCCATGTTACCTCCCCCGGACTCCTCTCCGGCTCACTTCCCTCCCCGTTCTCCTCCTGTGTCTCCTCCCCTCTCTCCTGACCCGACTCCACTGTCTCACATCTGGTCTCGTCGTCCGTCTCGTGCTCGTCCTACCTCCCCTGTTCCGCATTCTCACCTTATGTTGCTTCGCTCATACGCATCTCGTGCTCCTCCTCTCCTCCCGTCTCCTCCTCCGTCGTCGCTTGCTGTGGCCCCGCCTCCGTTCTCGGACTTCCTCCACGCTGCGCATCCTCTTGTTCCTCGTGTCCTTGCCTCTCTCGTTACCGACCCGTCCGTTCCTGTCTCGAGTCTGTCGGCTCTTGTCGCTACTGTCGCTACTGTCACTGACTTTGCTGCTACCCGCCGCCTGGACTACACCACCGCTTTGGTCTCAGACCCTGCCTGCCCTCCAGCCGACGGGGGTGTGGCTACTCTTAGCAGTGACGTCCAAGAGGACAGGCAATTCGAGCTCGCTTTCTGGTCCAAGGCCGCTCCCCATCTCTGTTCCATGCTACTAGTCCCTAAGGGTGACCCAGATGCCCTTGTCATTCCGAAGCCTCGCACATACGCTGAGGCCACCTCGGGACCCTGGGCCTCTTAGTGGATAGCTGCCATGGAGTAGGAGTTGGCATCTTGGAGATCCACCGGTACCTACGTCAACGCACTTCCCCCACCTGGGGTGAACGTAGTCGATGGCCGCTGGCTCTTCAAGATAAAGCGCCCTCTACACGAGCAGGTCTACCTGCGCCAGCCCCAGGGCTTCTCCGGTACCTTTCCCCGTGGCACCGAGTGGCTCCTCCGGCGCCCAGTCTACGGCTTGCGACAGGCGCCCCGCTAGTGGCACGACACGTTGCATGCTACACTTGCTGTTCTTCCCTTCGTCTGCAGACCCCTCGCTCATTGTTCATTCCGGTCAGACTCCGTTCTACATCCTTGTCTACGTAGACAATCTGGTCTTTGATACTGCAGACAGAGACGCACTGGCCGCCGTGAAGGCCGAACTGCTGAGGAGACAGATCTGCACTGACCTAGGAGTGCTGCGCCGCTACCTTGGCTTGCAGATCTCTAGGGACAGAGCAGCGCGCACCATCACTCTCTCACACTCACACTTGGTGCGCCAGGTCCTTCAGAGGTTCGGCCTTCAGTTCTCTTCCTCACAGCCCACCCCTCAGTCTGTAGACCACAGACTCTCTGCCCTATTCCCTGAGGAGGCTGTAGAGCCTAGTGGTCCCTACGCAGAGCTGGTGGGTTGCCTTATGTACCTGATGACCTGCACTCGTCCAGATTTCACATACCCTCTCAGCATTCTGGCTCGCTTTTTGGCCCCAGGCAGACACCGACCACAGCACTGGTCGGCTGCTAAGAGGGTTTTGCGTTATCTAGCAAGTACATCAGGCATGGGGCTAGTGCTAGGAGGACGGAGACCAGTGGTCCTTACCGGCACACAGACGCTTCTTGGGTAGACAAAGCCGAGACTCTCAGGTCCTCACAGGGCTACTCCTTTAGCCTTGGTGCAGGTGCCATCTCGTGGAGGTCCACCCGCTCCTCGTCTGTTGCCCAATCTAGCTGTGAGGCTGAGATATACGCAGGTGCCATGGCGGCACAGGAGCTCCGCTGGCTGACGTTCTTGCTCACCGACTTGGGTGAGCGGCCTAGCTCTACCCCGATTCTGTACGCTAACAATAGGGCCATGATCCTCCTGTGTCTGGAGCCCCGACTTGAGGGCAGAGCGAAGCACATCCAGTTGCGGTACTTCCTCCTGTGCAAGCTGCAGCAACATCGCCAGGCTTGTGTAGTACACTTGGCCTCCGGTGCCAACACAGCTGATATCTTTACTAAGGCGCTTTCGCCTAAAGATCATCAGCGGCACTGTGTACAGCTAGGTCTCGTTCCTGTATCCTCTCACTTGATAGGACCTTGATTGTGTATAGACCTTTATATATATTACCCTGACTGGCCTTGTGGCCTCTTCCCAGTGGCTGGACTAATAGTGCCACCCTGGTCTTGCTCTTGCCTTGTCTGTACTTGTTTGACTGGACTTTAGACCCCTGCCTCAGAGCCAGGACTAGTAGTGCCACCTTGAGCTACTTCTCTCTCATTAGGCACTGCCCCTGTCCAGTTTAGGAGGTGCGTTAAACATACAAACATATATTGTATGTTACAGTACACTATATAGAGTTGTGCCTTAGGGAGTACAACCAGGCCCCCAAATTGCAGACTTTTTACTCTGATTCAGACTTTTTTCTTACTTTTATTAAGGGTGTACTCTGACTGGGAAGACTTTTTTTGTACTTGACTCTGATTTTTCAAAGAAGATTTATGTACATACGTTGATTTTTCCGACTTTTTCTACTAGTGTACTCTGATGCCTCAACTTTGTATGTGGGGGGTGACTCTGATTTGTGTAATACCGGAGGAGGGTGATTTACCAGTGAGGGAAGCTGATTGGCCATTAGCCAAAGTCAGAGTGCGATGCTTGCGGGGGGCTTTGTGAGGGCGGTTACCAGACCTTTACCAAAATCAAAGGCCAGTGCGTAATGGGGGTTGTGTGAGGGAGCTGACTGGCCCTTCACCAAAATCACCTCCCACGTTTTGCAGGGTGCGGGTGTGAGGGGCCAATTAGCCCTTCAAAAAAATTACCGATGTTTGCTGCGGGTTGTGTGTGCGAGGGCGCCCATTGGCCCTTCAAGAAATAGCCACGTGGATGGCGCGATTTCCCTCCCTCTCTGCAATTTTACTTTGCCCTCCCCTCAATTTCTTTTCGCCCACCCCATTTGTGCTGGCGCGGGGCCAGGTCGAGGGTGACGCGAAATTCTGTGTGCTGTGGCCAGTATCAGAAAGTAATAATGATTAGAAAGGTGAGATACAAGACAATATAGACTAGTGATCTGTACCCTCTAAGGCACAAGCATGTATAATCCACAGTAACTGCATAAGTTATGTTTGACACACCCCCTAGACTATATAAGGGCAGTGCCTAACAAGTGAAGAAGCAGCTCAGGGCGGCACTACTAGACCAACCTCTAAGACAAGGGTCTTAAGACCAGTCACAAGGAGTACAGACAAGACAAGAACAAAACCAGGGCGGCACTACTAGTCCAGCCACTGGGAGAGCCCACAAGGCCTGTCAGGGTAAATATATATATAAAGGACAGTACAAAGTCAAGGCCCTAGCAAGTGAGAGGCTACAAGAACGAGACCTAGCTGTACACAGTGCCGCTGATGATCTTTAGGCGCAAGCGCCTTCGTAAAGATATCAGCTGTGTTGGCACCTGAGGCCAAGTGTACTACGCAGGCCTGACGACGCTGCTGGAGCTCACGCAGGAGGAAATACCGCAGCTGGATGTGCTTCGCTCTGCCCTCGAGTTGAGGCTCCTGACACAGGAGGATCATGGCCCTGTTGTCAGCGTACAGGACCGGTGTAGAGCTAGGCTACTCACCTAAGTCAGTGAGCAAGAAGGTCAGCCAGCGGAGCTCCTGTGCCGCCATGGCACCGGCGTAGATCTCGACCTCACAGCTGGACTGGGCAACAGACGAGGAGCGGGTAGCTCTTCACGAGACGGCACCTGAACCAAGGCTAAAGCAGTAGCCCTGGGAGGACCTGAGGGTCTCAGCGTCGTCTGCCCAAGAAGCGTCTGTGTGTCCAGTAAGGACCACTGGCCTGCGTCCTCCTAGCACTAACCCCATGCCCAATGTACTTGCAAGATAACGCAAAACCCTTTTAGTGGCAGACCAGTGCTGAGGTCGGTGTCTGCCTGTAGCCACAAAGCGAGCCAGGATGCTGAGAGGGTATGCAAGATCTGGGCGAGTGCAAGTCATCAGGTACATGAGGCAACCCACCAGCTCTGCGTAAGGACCACTGGGCTCTGCTGACTCCTTGGGAACTGGAGTTGAGAGCCTATGGTCTAGTGGCAGAGGAGTGGGCTGTACAGAGGAGAACCGAAGGCCGAACCTCTGAAGGACCTGGCGCACCAAGTGTGACTGAGTCAAAGTGATGGTGCGCGCTGCTTTGTCCTTGAAGATCTGCAAGCCAAGGTAGTGGCACAGTTCTCCAAGGTCAGTGGAGGTGTATCTCTTCAGCAGCTCTGCCTTTACGGAGGCCAGTGCGTCCCTGTCTGCCGTGGCAAAGGCCAGGTCGTCTATGTAAACAAGGATGTAGAACGGGGTCTGGCCAGCACGAACGAAGAGCGAGGTGTCTGCAGAGAATGGAAAGAACTGCAGGTCAGCAAGCGTAGCACGCAGCGTGTCGTGCCACTCACGGGGAGCCTGCCGCAGGCCGTAGACGGGGCGCCGTAGGAGCCACTGGGTCCCAGGATGGAAGGTACCAGTGAAGCTCTGAGGGCGGCACAGGTAGACCTGCTCGTGTAGACTGTTCTGAAGAAACGCAGTGGAGAAGTCGAGGGAGTGAAGCTCGTAGTCACGCTGAGCTGCTACGTGTAGCAGCACCCGAAGAGTAGTCATCTTCAGGGTTGGAGCGAAGGTCTGGAAGAAGTCCACCCCCTCACGCTGACTGAAACCTCTAGCCACGTAGCGCGTCTTGAACACTGGCGACTCTCCAGGAGGGCGCTTCACCTTGAAAAGCCAGCGGCCATCGACTACGTTCACCCCAGGCGGGGGAACTGTGTCGACGGAGGTGCTGGTGGATCTCCAAGATGCCATCTCCTGCTCCATGGCAGCTATCCACTGAGAGGCCCAGGGTCTCGAGACCGCCTCAGCGTAAGTGCGAGGGGTCGGGATGTCGAAAGCGTTGGGGTCACCCTCAGGGACTAGAAGCATGGAACAGAGATGGGGAGCAGCCTCGGACAGGAAAGCTGATGGAAATCGTGCAAATCTGGAGAGAACTAATTAGAGATTAAGTCTGACGACCTCAACGAATCATTGCGTGCTTCTCAGGTAACTTCTAGAAATGAGCTTATACGCGTTGGAAAGGTCTTAATCTCTATTTTCCAGAATGGTAAAGCACGTTCATAACCAAGATCTGAGCCGCCGATTATGTCGAAATCAGTGTGAGGGGGTCTTCTGGTAATTTGGCTAGGCAGCCATGAATCACCTAGTAAAAACGAGAAGGGAAGCAGTTCGATCTGGAAAAGTTGGGCTATTTGATTGTCAAACAACACCAACCCTCGCCCTGAACCAAACCCTAACACTCCCAAGTGCCACAGCTGCAACATCAAAGATGTTGTAGTGGGTATGGGGTAGTATGGGTTGGAAAGGTAACGAGATCAAACCTAGCCAACCAACCCAAGTTCTTTTGCCCAAATCCCAATAGCCCACAGCCAGCTAGAGCAAATCACACCACAGAACACTACACATTTATCACTCCCCCTTGCTCGTGCTGGGTGTGGCTCAACACCATAGGGCAAATGCCTTCACACCACTCCCCCTTGCCCATGGGTTGGGGCCACCCAGAGCATGGAGTCCGCCAAGGAGAGGAGCACCAAGACGCCGGCATCTGCTGCGGGAACTCTGTCATCATGGGGCTGCATCCCGAGCAAGGTCATGCACACACCATGACGCTCAAATGGAAGAGACTTGGTAAGAATATCAGCAGCCTGACGGTTGGTAGGGCACCACTGCAAAATCACCTCACCCGCAGCTACCATCTCCCGAATGAAATGCCACCGGACCTGCATGTGTTTGGTGCGGCCATGCAAGCATGCATTCTGTGCAAGGGCAATGGCAGACTGATTATCCACAAACACACCCACACCACCAGCATGATCATGGCCAAACTCCCCAAACAAACGCCTCAGCCAGACACCCTCCTGAATGCACTGACACAGACTTATATACTCACTCTTAGTGGTAGAGAGTGCTACCACGGGCTGCCTCTTGCTCTGCCAAGAGATAGCTGCCCCATTCAGACAGAACACATACCCACTGTGGCTCCTGCGACTTGCGGAATCTCCAGCATAGTCAGCATCACTGAAGCCAACTAGCTGGACCTGAGACTAAGGCTGTGTTTGGAAGAAGATACCTGACTTGACACCACCTTTCAGGTACCTCAGCACTCTCTTAGCGGCCTGCAAGTGAAACATTTTAGGACAAGAGGCGACCTTAGATAGCTGTGAGACTGCAAAGGCAATCTGTGGCTGTGTGGTAGTACAAGCATACATGAGGGATCCCACAATGCTTTGGTAGAGCTTGACCAGCTCATCTCGCAGCAAGGGTTCATCCTCATAGGCATGCACATCAAAGCCTGTTGGGAGAGGAGTACGCACGGGGTTGGCCTCTGAAAGACCAAAGGACTGAAGCATGTTAAGAATGTACCTCTCTTGATGAATCAAGATACCACTCTCATCACGTTCAATTTGCATTCCCAAGTAGTACTTCACCTCCCCCAAGTCCTTCATGCGAAAACGCGAGGACAAGAACTCTTTCACTCGATCTAGCAAAGCCTTGCTAGAGCATAGGAGCAAAAGGTCATCCACATAGAGGAATAAGGAGATCCTCTCCTCATCTCTCACAAAGTGGTACAAGGCAGGGTCACACTCAGATCTCTCAAACCCAAAATCCATGAGAGCCTGATCAAATTTTAGGTACCACTGTCGTGGGGCTTGCTTTAGCCCATAAATGGACTTTTTGAGGCGACACACTCGGTGAGACCCATCATCAAAACCAAGGGGCTGCCGCATGTAAAGCTCTTCCTCCAAATCCCCATGGAGGAAGGCTGTCTTGACATCCATATGATGGATATCAAGCCCCAAAGCAGCTGAAATTCCAAGCATACCTCTCAAGGTCGCATGCTTCCCAACTGGAGAGTACACTTCTTCATAGTGTACTCCCAATTTCTGCGTGTTTCCCATCACCACCAATCTGGACTTAGGCCTCTCAACAGTACCATCAGGGTTATGCTTGTATTTCCAAACCCATTGACACCTGAGGACCTCCAAACCAGGTGGTACCACTGCTGGATCAACCAGCTCAAATGATCCATTTACCTTGTGAGACTCAAGCTCCTCATGCATGGACTCAACCCATTCTGGACGGTTCAGCGCCTCGTGGACTGACCTAGGCTCATGCACCTGACCCATTAGACACACATCAAGAGCATACTCATGCCCATGCATGTCCACAAGCATGCAATCATCCAAATCAGACACAAGATGATCATGCATGCGTGCAATGTGCCCCGGGGTAAACCTTTCAGGTGGCTGGGAAATTCGAGCACTGCGTCGCAGAGGTGTTGCCTCTCCTTCTTCCAGCCTCTGCAGCTTCTCCTCCCAAGTCACCCTCTTCATTGGAGTCCTCGGAGTCTTGGACAGCTGCTGGTCCAACAACTGCTGCCAACTGCTTCTCGATGGAGTTGAAGGCACATGCTGCTCCGGCTGATCATCACGCGCATCGGCCTGCGTGGCTGGCTGAGGGGTAGAATCTGTCTCTCGGGACTCCTCATGGTTAGGATCAGCTGGTTCTGGCTCCTCCTGCTGCTCCTCCCCTTCATCTGCAGGGTCCTCCCATGCCCCCTCAAAGATAGAAGCCGTATGAGGGTCTTGAATGGAAGTCCCACTTTGGCTTGTACCATGCTCCTTCCACCCCTTAAAATTCAGCCCCTCATGGAAAACCACATCACGGCTCTCCATTACACGCTGGTCAGCTACACTCCACAGCACCCAAGCCTTGCTCCTCTCAGAAACCCCAAGGAAGATCCCCCACTGTGCCTTAGGATCTAGCTTCCTTCTTTGCTGGTCAGGTACCTTATACTGTGCCATGCACCCCCACACTCGTGCCATGGAAACATTCGGCACCTTCCCTGTCCATAAGGAGTATGGGCTCTTGCCTCCAAGCCCCTTGCTGCCCATCCTGTTCTTCACCCAGTTGGCATACTGCACTGCTGCCCCCCACCAAGTGTTATCAAGCTCGGCATGGGAAAGGATGGCCCGAGCCAAATCGGTCAAGGTCCTGTTAAGCCGCTCCGCTGCCCCATTTTGCTGCGGCGTGTAAGGTACAGAGAGCTGGTGGGTAATATCCTTTTCTTCCAAGAAGGTTTGAAGTTCTTTCCCAAGGTACTCTCCACCCCGATCTGACCTTAACACCTTTACCTTGGCCCCTGATTCCCTCTCCACATAGCGTATCCACCGCTTAAACACCTTTGCCACCTCATCCTTGGTCTTCACCAAGGTGACCCAGCTAAGTCGACTGAAGTCATCAAGAAAGGTGACAAAGTACCTGCTGCCCCTTTCCCGGTCAAGAGTTTGCATCGGTCCACACACATCCGTGTGCACCAGCTCAAGGGGAGTCGAGGCATGATCAGAGGAGATAGGGAATGAGGTTCTAGGCAGCTTTCCAGACGTGCAGTCGGGACATTTGCTCTGCTGCCCAGCTCCTTTCTTGACCTCCACCCCCTTCAGCTCCCCCTTCTTCACACACTCCAGCAGTTGCTGCTTCCCCACGTGCCCCATGCGAAGGTGTAGCAACTCAGGTGACACCGTTTCCACCTGCCTCCAGCGAGTGCTACAAGCGGCTTCCTCAGAAAAAACCATATGTGCCTTGTAACAATTAGGCACACAAGCTGGAACAAGGTATAAACCCTTGTCCAGCTTTGCCTCCATCACCACAGCTTCACCCTTTCTAACAGTACACCCTCCCTCCGTGAAAGTGCAGATGTATCCCTGTTTAGCCAGCTGCGAGCATGAAAGGAGGTTTGCAGCCAAACCAGGAACGTGAAGGACCCCCTTCACACCCACTAGCTCCCCCTCCTTCCCCTTAATGGTGATCGTGCCGATGCCAATTGCTTGCAGCAAATCTCCGCTCCCAACAATCACGTTCCTCGAATTTGGTGGGAGAGGATGGTAGGAGGTGAAGAGATCACGGCGAGGAAGCATCCCAGATGTTGTTCCAGAGTCTAGAACCAGGAAGTTGGGATCAGCCAATGCACAACCAGCGAGAGCTGCATCCTGCCCTAGCATGAGAAACGAGAAACCATCATCGGAGGAGTCGTCTTGGCCCTTCCCCTTCTCATCCTTAGCAGCTGCGGCCGTTGCTCCCTTGCTGCCCTTCTTATTCCAGAGCCCCTTCTTCATCCTTTTCTCCACCCAATCAGGTTTGGTCACTGGTGGGGCCTCTCCAGAGTAGCCGTGAGGCTTCCATCCCTCAGGCCTACTCCAGCAACTCTTCCAAGAGTGTTTTTTGTTGCATCCGGGCACAAGGCATTTGTCCAACTCTTTCTTCTTCCCCCCACCTCCTTGCTGTTGATAGCCTTTCCTGAAGGAAGCTTTATCTGCTGCACCCATGCCTCCTTCTAGACCTCTTCCAGCATCAACCTTGCGAGCCTCATCAGAAATTAGAACCTCCCAAATCCACACCTTGGTCCATTTCTGTTGCTCGAGGTGAAGGTACTGTAGTAATGCCTCATTAGCCGCTTGATCGAACCCTTGGAGCGCAGTATAGATGATCTCCTTCTCATCTACCGTGTAATCCAGCTCCTCCAAAGCCCGCACATTCTCATCCACCCTCTGGAGATACTGAACCATGGTCTCCCCCTCCCCATAGTTCCGCTCCATGGTGTAAAACCGCTTCCGCCAAGTAAGCACGCTTAGAAGCCCTTTCTGCAAGTGCCTATCTTGTACTCTTTTCCAAGCTGCAGGCGCTGCACCTTCCTTCCCCTTCAGGTCAATCAGCATCTTAAGAAGCTCAAGTTGCCCCTCCAAAGCCCAACACAGGTACTGAAAAGCCTGGCGATCCTTCCGATCCCATGCTTCTTGAGCTTTGAGCAACTCCTCGCTACTTGGTTGCGACCTTCCGGTTCGGGTTGCAGCAGTTCCTCCTTCCTTCACCCCACTCAACGACGCTCCCCCAGCTCCGGATCCCACTTGGCTGGTTGCTCCAGTAGACGCCTCCCCAGAGTCAGCTCGTGGTCGCTTCTCCGATCCATCCAACACACTTTCTAGGTCCTTAATACCTAGCCATAGTGTGAACTGGAACCTCCATAGCGAAAAGTCCGAGCCGGTAAACCTAGGAGGGCCATCCAACTTTTGGGCCATGTCAAACCCTAGATCTGGAGCACTTCAAGCCTCTCTAGATCTCTTCCAATGGAGGAAAGAACGTCCTCTAACCGTGGCTCTGATACCACTGATGGAAATCATGCAAATCTGGAGAGAACTAATTAGAGATTAAGTCTGACGACCTCAACGAATCATTGCGTGCTGCTGAGGTAACTTCTAGAAATGAGCTTATACGCGTTGGAAAGGTCTTAATCTCTACTTTCCAGACTGGTAAAGCACGTTCATAACCAAGATTTGAGCCGCCGATTATGACGAAATCAGTGTGAGGGGGTCTTCTGGTAATTTGGCTAGGCAGCCATGAATCACCTAGTAAAAACGAGAAGGGAAGTAGTTCGATCTGGAAAAGTTGGGCTATTTGATTGTCAAACAACACCAACCCTCGCCCTGAACCAAACCCTAACACTCCCAAGTGCCACAGCTGCAACATCAAAGATGTTGCAGTGGGTATGGGGTAGTATGGGTTGGAAAGGTAACGAGATCAAACCTAGCCAACCAACCCAATTCTTTTGCCCAAATCCCAATAGCCCACAGCCAGCTAGAGCAAATCACACCACAGAACACTACACATTTATCAAAAGCAAGCTCGAACTGACGGTCCTCCAGAACGTCACTGCCAAGGGCAGAAGCACCCCCGACAGACGGAGGACAGGCAGGGTCAGAGACTAGAGCGGTGGCGTAGTCAAGGCGGCGGGAAGAGGCGAAGTCAGCGACCGCAGCGACGAGGGCGTCAAGGCTCGAAACCGGAACAGACGGGTCGGTAGCGAGAGAGGCAAGGACCCGAGGAACAAGAGGATGAGCTGCACGCAGGTAGTCAGACAGAGGGGGGGGAGCAACGACAAGGGAGGACGGAGGAGGTGACGGGAGAAGGGGAGGACGAGACGCGTGGGAACGAAGCAACATAGGGTGAGAGCGCGAGACAGGGGAGACAGGGCGAGCATGAGAGGGATGGCGAGACCAGATGTGAGACGGAGGAGTCAGGTGAGGAGACAGAGAAGGAGACACAGGAGGGGAACGAGGGGGGCTAGGGCCTAGGGGCGGAAGCTTGTGCGGGCTAGGAAGAGGACCTAACCTACGATGATACCATATCAGAATGTAATAATGATTATAAAGGTGAGATAGAAGACAATATAGACTAGTGAGCTGTACCCTCTAAGGCACAAGCATGTATAGTCTACAGTAACTGCATAAGTTATGTTTGACAGCCAGCACACAGATAGCAAGAGCACGCAAGAAGAGAAAGCCCCTGGATTAGGATAGGGAAGGCGAAAATAGATATACAGAACACCAGTTTTATATATCTCTTGTTACTCTGATTTTTCAGACTTTTTTTAAGGGGCGACTCTAATGGCCATACTAAGGAATGACAAGCAAGTCTGATGAATCAGACACCCCCAAAACCAATTTGGGGGCCTGAGTACAACCCATTAGGTCATATACCCCTGTATGTCATGTTCTAGTTAACTTTTCTCACTTTAACAGCCGCCACGGCCTGACGTTGACTCCACGACAGCGCGACGCCACGGCAGTGCGTCGAGACGGCGGCCGGCGGCACGACGACGCCGCCACAGCAGCACGACGCGGCTGTCAAACATGTATTATTGATCATGTTTGTATAGACTGTATAGGGTAACCTCCTAGAGGGTACAACATTTAGGTATATGTACATGTACTCTCTAACTCTATCATTCATTAAAATTCTAGTCTTGAGATGGTATCACGCGTAGGTTTCGACCCCCCCCCCCCCCCCCCCCCCACCTACCGCTTCCGCTCCTCCCGTCGCGTCTCCTAGTCTAGCCTCGCCCCTCCTGAGCCCAGTCGCGACTCCCCCCCCTAGCCCCGTTGCGCTCCTCTCAGGCCTCGTCGCGCCCCTTCCAGAGCGTCGTAGCGCCCCTCCAGGCCCCGTCGCGCCCCCCCTTCTAGGGCTTCGTAGCGCTCCTCCCAGGCCCCGTCGCGCTCCTCCCAGGCCCCGTCACGCCCCTTCCAGGGCTTCGTAGCGCCCCTCCAGGCCCCGTCGCGCCCCTTCCAGGGCTTCGTAGCGCCCCTCCAAGCCCCGTCGCGCCCCTTCCAGGGCTTCGTAGCGCCCCTCCAGGCCCCGTCGCGCCCCTTCCAGGGCTTCGTAGCGCTCCTCCAGGCCCCGTCGCGCCCCCCTCCAGGGCTTCGTAGCGCCCCTCCAGGCCCCGTCGCGCCCCTTCCAGGGCTTCGTAGCGCCCCTCCAGGCCCCGTCGCGCCCCTCCTGGGCTTGGTAGCGCCCCTCCCGGGCCCCCGTCGCGCCCCTCCCTGGGCCCCGTCGCGCCCCTCCTGGGCCCCGTCACACCTGCTCGGCCCCGTCGCCCCAGCTCGGCCTCGTCCCAGCCG